GATGTCTATGGGTCTCTGTGAGTCTATGGATGTCTATGGTCTCTATGAGTCTATGGGGTCTATGGGTCTCTGTGAGTCTATGGGTGTCTATTGGGTCTCTGTGAATCTATGGATGTCTATGGGGTCCTCTGTGAGTCTATGGATGTCTATGGGTCTCTGTGAGTCTATGGATGTCTATGGGTCTCTGTGAGTCTATGGATGTCTATAGGGTCTCTATGAGTCTATGAATGTTATATTGGGGTCTCTATTAATCAATGAATGTCTATGGATGTCTATGGGTCTCTATGAGTCTATGGATGTCTATGGGTCTCTGTGAGTCTATGGATGTCTATGGGTCTCTATGAGTATATGAATGTCTATGGGTCTCTATGAGTCTATGGATGTCTATGGGTCTCTATGAGTCTATGGGTGTCTATGGGTCTCTATGAGTCTATGGATGTCTATGGGTCTCTATGAGTCTATGGGTGTCTATGAGTCTCTATGAGTCTATGGATGTCTATGGGTGTCTGTGAGTCTATGGATGTCTATGGGTCTCTATGATGTCTATGAATGTCTATGGGTATCTGTTAGTCTATGGATGTCTATGGGTATCTATGAGTCTATGGATGTCTATGGGTCTTTGTGAGTCTATGGATGTCTATGGGTCTGAATGAGTCTATGGATGTCTATGGGTCTCTGTGAGTCTATGGATGTCTATGGGTCTCTATGAGTTTATGGATGTCTATGGGTCTCGTGAGTCTATGAATGTCTATGGGTTCTCTGTGAGTCTATGGATGTATATGGGTCTCTATGATTCTTTGGATGTCCTATGGGTCTCTATGAGTCTATGGATGTCTATGGGTCTCTATGAGTCTATGGGTGTCTATGGGTCTCTTTTAGTCTATGGATGTCTATGGGTCTCTATGAGTCTATGGATGTCTATGGGTGTCTATGAGTCTATGGATGTCTATGGGTCTACTTGAGTTATGGATGTCTATTGTCTCTGTGAGTCTATGAATGTCTATGGGTCTCTGTGAGTCTATGGATGTCTGTGGGTCTCTATGAATGTCTATGGGCCTCTATGAGTCTATGGATGTCTATGGGTCTCTATGAGTTTAAGGATGTCTATGGGTCTCTATGAGTCTATGGGTGTCCTATGGGTCTCTATGAGTATATTAATATCTATGGGTCTCTATGAGTCTATAGATGTCTATGGGTCTCTATGACTCAATGGATGTCTATGGGTCTCTATGAGTCTATGAATGTCTATGGGTCTCTATGAGTCTATGGATGTCTATGGGTCTCTATGACTCAATGGATGTCTATGGGTCTCTATGAGTCTATGAATGTGTATGGGTCTCTATGAGTCTATGAATGTCTATGGGTCTCTATGAGTCTATGAATGTCTATGGGTCTCTATGAGTCTATGAATGTCTATGGGTCTCTGTGGGTGTATGGATGTCTATGGGTCTCTATGATTACATGAATGTCTATGGGTCTCTATGAATGTATGAATGTCTATGGGTCTCTATGAGTATATGAATGTCTATGGGTCTCTATGAGTCTATGGATGTCTATGGGTCTCTATGAGTCTAGGGGTGTCTATGGGTCTCTATGAGTCTATGAATGTCTAGGGTCTCTATGAGTCTATGGATGTCTATGGGTCTCTATGAGTCTATGGATGTCTATGGGTCTCTGTGAGGCTATGGATGTCTATGGGTGTCTGTGAGTCTATGGGTGTCTATGGGTCTCTATGAGTCTATGGATGTCTATGGGTCTCTGTGAGTCTATGGATGTCTATGGGTCTCTATGAGTATGAATGTCTATGGGTCTCTATAAGTCTATGGATGTCTATGGTCTCTATGAGTCTATGGATGTCTATGGGTCTCTATGAATCTATGGAAGTCTATGGGTCTCTATGAGTCTATGGGTGTCTATGGGTCTCTATGAGTCTATGGATGTCTATGGGTCTCTATGAGTCTATGGATGTCTATGGGTCTCTATGAGTCTATGGATGTCTATGGGTCTCTATGAGTCTATGAATGTCTATGGGTCTCTATGAGTCTATGGATGTCTATGGGTCTCTATGAGTCTATGGATGTCTATGGGTCTCTGTGAGTCTATGGATGTCTATCGGTCTCTATGAGTCTATGGGTCTCTGTGAGTCTATGGGTGTCTATGGGTCTCTATGAGTCTATGGATGTCTATGGGTCTCTGTGAGTCTATGGATGTCTATGGGTCTCTGTGAGTATGAATGTCTATCGATCTCTATGAGTCTATGGGTCTCTGTGAGTCTATGGGTGTCTATGGGTCTCTATGAGTCTATGGATGTCTATGGGTCTCTGTGAGTCTATGGATGTCTATGGGTCTCTGTGAGTCTATGGATGTCTATGGGTCTCTGTGAGTATGAATGTCTATCGGTCTCTATGAGTCTATGGGTCTCTGTGAGTCTATGGATGTCTATGGGTATGAATGAGTCTATGGATGTCTATGGGTCTCTGTGAGTCTATGGATATCTATGGGTCTCTATGAGTTTATGGATGTCTATGGGTCTCTGTGAGTCTATGAATGTCTATGGGTCTCTGTGAGTCTATGGATGTATATGGGTCTCTATGATTCTTTGGATGTCTATGGGTCTCTATGAGTCTATGGATGTCTATGGGTCTCTATGAGTCTATGGGTGTCTATGGGTCTCTTTTAGTCTATGGATGTCTATGGGTCTCTATGAGTCTATGGATGTCTATGGGTGTCTATGAGTCTATGGATGTCTATGGGTCTCTTTGAGTCTATGGATGTCTATGGGTCTCTGTGAGTCTATGGATGTATATGGGTCTCTATGATTCTTTGGATGTCTATGGGTCTCTATGAGTCTATGGATGTCTATGGGTCTCTATGAGTCTATGGATGTCTATGGGTCTCTGTGAGTCTATGGATGTCTATGGGTCTCTGTGAGTCTATGAATGTCTATGGGTCTCTATGAGTCTATGGATGTCTATGGGTCTCTGTGAGTCTATGGATGTCTGTGGGTCTCTATGAATGTATATGGGTCTCTATGAGTCTATGGATGTCTATGGGTCTCTATGAGTTTAAGGATGTCTATGGGTCTCTATGAGTCTATGGGTGTCTATGGGTCTCTATGAGTATATTAATATCTATGGGTCTCTATGAGTCTATAGATGTCTATGGGTCTCTATGACTCAATGGATGTCTATGGGTCTCTATGAGTCTATGAATGTCTATGGGTCTCTATGAGTCTATGGATGTCTATGGGTCTCTATGACTCAATGGATGTCTATGGGTCTCTATGAGTCTATGAATGTGTATGGGTCTCTATGAGTCTATTAATGTGTATGGGTCTCTATGAGTCTATGAATGTCTATGGGTCTCTATGAGTCTATGAATGTCTATGGGTCTCTGTGGGTGTATGGATGTCTATGGGTCTCTATGAGTCCATGAATGTCTATGGGTCTCTATGAATGTATGAATGTCTATGGGTCTCTATGAGTATATGAATGTCTATGGGTCTCTATGAGTCTATGGATGTCTATGGGTCTCTATGAGTCTATGGGTGTCTATGGGTCTCTATGAGTCTATGAATGTCTATGGGTCTCTATGAGTCTATGGGTGTCTATGGGTCTCTATGAGTCTATGGATGTCTATGGGTCTCTGTGAGGCTATGGATGTCTATGGGTGTCTGTGAGTCTATGGGTGTCTATGGGTCTCTATGAGTCTATGGATGTCTATGGGTCTCTGTGAGTCTATGGATGTCTATGGGTCTCTATGAGTATGAATGTCTATGGGTCTCTATAAGTCTATGGATGTCTATGGGTCTCTATGAGTCTATGGATGTCTATGGGTCTCTATGAATCTATGGAAGTCTATGGGTCTCTATGAGTCTATGGATGTCTATGGGTCTCTATGAGTCTATGGATGTCTATGGGTCTCTATGAGTCTATGGATGTCTATGGGTCTCTATGAGTCTATGGATGTCTATGGGTCTCTGTGAGTCTATGGATGTCTATCGGTCTCTATGAGTCTATGGGTCTCTGTGAGTCTATGGGTGTCTATGGGTCTCTATGAGTCTATGGATGTCTATGGGTCTCTGTGAGTCTATGGATGTCTATGGGTCTCTGTGAGTCTACGGATGTCTATGGGTCTCTGTGAGTCTATGGATGTCTATGGGTCTCTGTGAGTATGAATGTCTATCGGTCTCTATGAGTCTATGGGTCTCTGTGAGTCTATGGGTGTCTATGGGTCTCTATGAGTCTATGGATGTCTATGGGTCTCTGTGAGTCTATGGATGTCTATGGGTCTCTGTGAGTATGAATGTCTATCGGTCTCTATGAGTCTATGGGTCTCTATGAGTCTATAAATGTCTATGGGTCTCTATGAGTCTATGGATGTCTATGGGTCTCTATGAGTCTATGGATGTCTATGGGTCTCTATGAGTCTATGGATGTCTATGGGTCTCTGTGAGTCTATGGATGTCTATGGGTCTCTGTGAGTATGAATGTCTATCGGTCTCTATGAGTCTATGGGTCTCTGTGAGTCTATGGATGTCTATGGGTCTCTGTGAGTCTATGGATGTCTATGGGTCTCTATGAGTCTATGGATGTCTATGGTCTCTGTGAGTCTATGGGTCTCTGTGAGTCTGAGGGTCTCACCCAGCCGGACGTCATCACGCACTCGTACTCAGCAACGCACCCACACTCACACGACGCGTCGACGTCATCGCGCACAGCGACGCGGTGACGTCACGCGGCCTCACGTAACTCCCACGTTGCGAGAACTCTCGAGAAGAGAGCGACGCGATGACGTCACCGCCATACGTTCCTTCCCCCACTCAAAGGAAGCGTCGTGCTGTGACGTCATCACGCACATCGACGCGCTGACGTCACGATGCCTCACGTCTCCTCCCACCTCCCCTTTTCCATCAGCAAAACTCGGGGAGTCGCGAGAGCGACGGGTGACGTCACGACCCTACGTCCCCACCCCCCCGCCCACCCATCGTGTGCTTGACGCCCGTGACGTCATCACGCACGGGCGACGCGCTGACGTCACGCGGCCTTCCATCAGCTTCGCTCGTGAGTTAAGCGCCAAAGTCGTCCATCTCGGTGAGCCATGGTGGACTACAGCGTGTGGGACCACATCGAAGTGTCGGACGACGAGGACGACACTCACCCCAACATCGACACGCCGAGTCTCTTCCGATGGCGACATCAGGTGAAAGGGCGTGGGAAAATATTTATATTCTAAACCCGACCCCGACCAACAACCCCCACCCCCCTCAACGCTTCAACCCCACCCGGTTTGGGTGAGGGGAAGGCGGTAGCGGGAGCTAGGCGAGGGCGGTGCTTTTTTGGGTAGGCCTCTCGGTCTTTTAATTTTTTTTTAAAAAAAGTTTTTATTTAACGCTCCAGCATCACCCCCATGGTTTTGGTGAGGGGAAGGCGGTAGCGGGGATCTAGGCGAGGGCGGTGCTTTTTTGAGGCCTCTCGGTCTTCCCCCACTCCCCCCCCCCAAGCGCTCCAGCCTCACCCCCGGTTTTGGTGAGGGGAAGGCGGTAGCGGGGATCTAGGCGAGTGCGGTGCTTTTTTGGGTAGGCCTCTCGGTCTTTTAATTTTTTTTTTTAAAAGTTTTTATTTAACGCTCCAACCTCACCCCCATGGTTTTGGTGAGGGGAAGGCGGTAGCGGGGATCTAGGCGAGGGCGGTGCTTTTTTGAGGCCTTTCTGTACCTGGGCCTCCCCTAGGTCGACTTTGTCTTTGGTGGGGAGCGGTAGTGTAGTGGTTAGCGCTACGCTGCGCTATGAACCTGGCGACCCGGGTTCGATTCATGCTCACGGCCAACACCAGTGACGATTATCTGAACCGGTCCCGGGCCTCCCCTAGGTCGACTCAGCCTCAAATGAGTACCTGGTGCGGTGTGTAAGCATTGCCACTGGGGAGACAAAGGCGGTCGGGCGTGGTGCTGGCCACCCACCCCCTCGTGTACCGTTCCGGCCTTCATAGGTGCTCGCTAACAGCACTTGCCCCTACAGTCTGTTAAGGCTATACGGGGGATCTTTGTCTTTGTTGTGTGTGTGTCTGTCTATGTGTGTCTATCTGTGTTTGTGTGTCTGTGTGTCTGTGTGTGTGTATGTGTGTGTGTCTGTGTGTGTGTGTGTGTGTATGTGTGTGTGTCTGTGTGTGTGTATGCGTGTGTGTCTGTGTGTATGTGTGTGTGTCTGCGTGTATATCTGTGTGTGTCTGTGTGTGTGTCTGCGTGTGTATCTGTCTGTGTGTCTGTGTGTGTGTCTGTGTGTCTGTGTGTATATCTGTGTGTGTGTCTGTGTGTTCCACAGTGCCGGTAGCCTTCATAGGAGCTGCTGCTCGCTAACAGCACTTGACCCTTACAGTCTGTTACAGGCCACACAGGGGATCATTGTCTTTGTATCAAACGTCAACACTGCTAGAGGCTACCTGGGGGAGCTTTGTCTGTGTATGTCAGCACTTGCCCCTACAGCCCTGCTAGAGGCTACCTGGGGGAGCTTTGTCTTTGTACTCAGCACTTGCCCCTACAGCCCTGCTAGAGGCTACCTGGGGGAGCTTTGTCTCTGTGTGTAGCAGCACTTGCCCCTACAGCCCTGCTAGAGGCTACCTGGGGGAGCTTTGTCTCTGTGTAGCAGCACTTGCCCCTACAGCCCTGCTAGAGGCTACCTGGGGGAGCTTTGTCTTTGTACTCAGCACTTGCCCCTACAGCCCTGCTAGAGGCTACCTGGGGGCGCTTTGTCTGTGTAACAGCACTTGCCCCTACAGCCCTGCTAGAGGCTACCTGGGGGAGCTTTGTCTGTGTGTGACAGCACTTGCACCTACAGCCCTGCTAGAGGCTACCTGGGGGAGCTTTGTCTGTGTGTGTCACAGCACTTGCCCCTACAGCCCTGCTAGAGGCTACCTGGCAGAGCTTTGTCTTTGTACTCAGCACTTGCCCCTACAGCCCTGCTAGAGGCTACCTGGGGGAGCTTTGTCTTTGTAACAGCACTTGCCCCTACAGCCCTGCTAGAGGCTACCTGGGGAGCTTTGTCTGTGTGTAGCAGCACTTGCCCCTACAGCCCTGCTAGAGGCTACCTGGGGAGCTTTGTCTTTGTACTCAGCACTTGCCCCTACAGCCCTGCTAGAGGCTACCTGGGGGAGCTTTGTCTCTGTGTGTAGCAGCACTTGCCCTACAGCCCTGCTAGAGGCTACCTGGGGGAGCTTTGTCTCTGTGTAGCAGCACTTGCCCCTACAGCCCTGCTAGAGGCTACCTGGGGGAGCTTTGTCTTTGTACTCAGCACTTGCCCCTACAGCCCTGCTAGAGGCTACCTGGGGGTGCTTTGTCTGTGTAACAGCACTTGCCCCTACAGCCCTGCTAGAGGCTACCTGGGGGAGCTTTGTCTGTGTGTGACAGCACTTGCACCTACAGCCCTGCTAGAGGCTACCTGGGGGAGCTTTGTCTGTGTGTGTCACAGCACTTGCCCCTACAGCCCTGCTAGAGGCTACCTGGCAGAGCTTTGTCTTTGTACTCAGCACTTGCCCCTACAGCCCTGCTAGAGGCTACCTGGGGGAGCTTTGTCTGTGTCTATCAGCACTTGCCCTACAACCCAGCTAGAGGCTATCTGGTGGAGATTTGTCTGTGTCTGTCAGGACTTGCCCCTACAGCCCTGCTAGAGGGCTACCTGGGGGAGCTTTGTCTGTGTGTGACAGCACTTGCCCCTACAGCCCTGCTAGAGGCTACCTGGGGGAGCTTTGTCTGTGTGTGACAGCACTTGCCCCTACAGCCCTGCTAGAGGCTACCCACAGGGTTCAGTGTTAATCACTGAGACCCACCCCCACCCACCCACGCCCACCCACGCCCACACCCACCCACCCACCCACACCCACCCACCCACCCACGCCCACACCCACCCACGCCCACACCCACCCACCCACCCACGCCCACACCCACCCACCCACCCACGCCCACACCCACCCACCCACCCACGCCCACACCCACCCACCCACCCACGCCCACACCCACCCACCCACCCACGCCCACACCCACCCACCCACACCCACCCCCACCCACCCACCCACTCACCCACACCCACCCCACACCCCACCCACACCCACCCCCACCCCACCCCAACCCCACCCCAACCCCCACTCACCCACCCACACCCCCACTCACCCACCCCACCCCACCCCACCCACCCCACACTCACACCACCCCACACCCCCACTCACCCCCACACCCCACACCCCACTCACCCACCCACACCCCCACCCCCACCCCACCCACCCCACCCACACTCACCCACCCACACCCCCCCACCCCACCCCACCCCACCCACACCCCCACTCACCCCCACCCACACCCCCACCACCCCCACTAACCCCCACTCACTCACCCACCCACGCCACCCACACCCACCCACACCCTACTCACCCCCACTCACTCACCCACCACGCCACCCACACCCACCCACACCCCACTCACCCCCACTCACTCACCCACCCACACCCACCCACCCACTCACCCACCCACCCACTCACCCACCCACGCCACCCACACCCACCCACACCCCCACTCACCCACCCCCCACCCCACCCACACCCACACCCCACTCACCCCCCCCACCCCTACCCCCCCCCACTCACCCCCCCACCCCCCCCCACCCCCCAGGCGCGCCTGGAGCGCATGCAGGAGTCCCGTGAGGAGCGAGAGGCGGTGGAGCGTTCGCTCTCGGAGTGCTCCCGCCGTGTGTCCGAGTGCTCCCGTCGCCTCGACGCCCTCGACCCCGCCCTCGACCCCGCCCTCGACCCCGCCCTCGACCCCGCCCTCGACCCCGCCCTCGACCCCGCCCTCGACCCGCCCTCGACCCCGCCCTCGACCCCCGCACCGCTGACCCCGCCACCGGCGACCCCCCGCAGCCGCCGCCGGGGTTGGCGGATCAGCGCGAGAGGCTGCAGGCGGAGCTGGCGGAGCTGCGGCGGCAGCAACTCGAGTGGAGGCGCAAGGAGGCGGAGCTGAGGAGGAAGGAGCGGACACAGCCCTGGAACGTCGACACCCTCAGCACGGAGGGCTTCGACAAGGTGGGCGGGGCTTAGAGGGGGTGGGAGGGGCTTAGGGGGGAGGGGCTTAGGGGGGGAGGGGCTTAGGGGGGAGGAGCTGAGGAGGAAGGAGCGGACACAGCCCTGGAACGTCGACACCCTCAGCACGGAGGGCTTTGACAAGGTGGGCGGGGCTTAGAGGGGGTGGGAGGGGCTTAGGGGGGGAGGGGCTTAGGGGGGAGGGGCTTAGGGGGGGAGGAGCTGAGGAGGAAGGAGCGGACACAGCCCTGGAACGTCGACACCCTCAGCACGGAGGGCTTCGACAAGGTGGGCGGGGCTTAGAGGGGAGGGGCTTAGAGGGGGAGGGGCTTAGGGGGGGAGGGGCTTAGAGGGGGAGAGCTGAGGAGGAAGGAGCGGACACAGCCCTGGAACGTCGACACCCTCAGCACGGAGGGCTTCGACAAGGTGGGCGGGGCTTAGGGGGGGAGGGGCTTGGGGTGGGGGGGAGGGGCTTAGGGGGGGGAGGGCTTAGGGGGAGGAGCTGAGGAGGAAGGAGCGGACACAGCCCTGGAACGTCGACACCCTCAGCACGGAGGGCTTCGACAAGGTGGGCGGGGCTTGTGTGGGGGTGGGAGGGGCTTAGAGGGGGAGGGGCTTAGAGGGGGAGGAGCTGAGGAGGAAGGAGCGGACACAGCCCTGGAACGTCGACACCCTCAGCACGGAGGGATTCGACAAGGTGGGCGGGGCTTAGAGGGGGAGGGGCTTAGGGGGGGGAGGGGCTTAGGGGGGGGAGGGGCTTAGAGGGGGAGGAGCTGAGGAGGAAGGAGCGAACACAGCCCTGGAACGTCGACACCCTCAGCACGGAGGGATTCGACAAGGTGGGCGGGGCTTATGGGGGGAGGGGCTTAGGGGGGAGGGTCTTAGGGGGGAGGGGCTTAGGGGGGAGGGGCTTAGAGGGGAGGAGCTGAGGAGGAAGGAGCGGACACAGCCCTGGAACGTCGACACCCTCAGCACGGAGGGATTCGACAAGGTGGGGCGGGGCTTGTGTGGGGGTGGGAGGGGCTTAAGGGGGAGGGGCTTAGGGGGGGGAGGGGCTTAGAGGGGGAGGAGCTGAGGAGGAAGGAGCGAACACAGCCCTGGAACGTCGACACCCTCAGCACGGAGGGCTTCGATAAGGTGGGCGGGGCTTGTGTGGGGGTGGGAGGGGCTTAGGGGGGGAGGGGCTTAGGGGAGGGGCTTAGGGGGGAGGGGCTTAGAGGGGGGGGCTGAGGAGGAGGAGCGGACACAGCCCTGGAACGTCGACACCCTCAGCACGGAGGGATTCGACAAGGTGGGCGGGGGGCTTGTGTGGGGGAGGGGCTTAGGGGGGGGAGGGGCTTAGGGGGGAGGAGCTTAGGGGAGGGGCTGAGGAGGAAGGAGCGGACACAGCCCTGGAACGTCGACACCCTCAGCACGGAGGGCTTCGACAAGGTGGGCGGGGCTTAGGGGGGGAGGGGCTTAGAGGGGGAGGGGCTTAGGGGGGGGGAGGGGCTTAGAGGGGGAGGGGCTTAGAGGGGGAGGAGCTGAGGAGGAAGGAGCGGACACAGCCCTGGAACGTCGCACCCTCAGCACGGAGGGCTTTGACAAGGTGGGCGGGGGCTTAGGGGGGGAGGGGCTTAGAGGGGGAGGGGCTTAGGGGGGAGGGGCTTAGGGGGGGGAGGGGCTTAGAGGGGGAGGAGCTGAGGAGGAAGGAGCGGACACAGCCCTGGAACGTCGACACCCTCAGCACGGAGGGCTTTGACAAGGTGGGCGGGGCTTGGAGGGGGTGGGGCTTAAGAGGGGAGGGGCTTAGGGGGAGGGGCTTAGGGGGTAGAGGGAGGGGCTTGGGGTGTAGAGGGAGGGGCTTAGGGGTAGAGGGAGGGGCTTAGGGGGGTGGGGGGGTAGAGGGAGGGGCTTAGAGGAGGAGGGGGGGTAGAGGGAGGGGCTTAGAGGAGGAGGGGCTTAGGGGTGTAGGGAGGGGCTTAGGGGGTAGAGGGAGGGGCTGAGGGGGTAGAGGGAGGGGGTAGAGGGAGGGGCTGAGGGGGTAGAGGGAGGGGCTTAGGGGTAGAGGGAGGGGCTTAGGGGGTAGAGGGAGGGGCTGAGGGGTAGAGGGAGGGGCTTAGGGGTAGAGGGAGGGGCTTGGGGTGTAGAGGGAGGGGCTTAGGGGGTAGAGGGAGGGGGTAGAGGGAGGGTAGGAGCGGGTAGAGGGAGGGGCTTAGGGGTAGAGGGAGGGGCTTGGGGTGTAGAGGGAGGGGCTTAGTGGGTAGAGGGAGGGGCTTAGTGGGTAGAGGGAGGGGCTTAGTGGGTTGAGGGAGGTGGCTGAGGAGTAGAGTGGAGGGGCCCCCCCCTACTACCCCCCACTCTACCCCCCACACTACCCCCCACTCTACCCCCCCTCTACCCCCACTCTACCCCACTCTACCCCCCCACTCTACCCCCCCACTCTACCCCCACACTACCCCCCACACTACCCCCACACTACCCCCACTCTACCCCCCACTCTACCCCCCACTCTACCCCCCACTACCCCCACTCTACCCCCCCACTCTACCCCCCACTCTACCCCCCACTCTACCCCCCCACTAGTCGGTGATCAACCCCCCGAAGAAGGTGGAGAATCTGAGCGGGCCACGTCGGAGGAGGAGAGGGAGGAGAAGCAGCGGAGATTCGTGGAGCAGAATGAGCGACTCATCAAGCACTTCGGTACGCCGCTGTGGCGGATACGGGGGGCGGGGTGTGTTTCTACAGCGGATACGGGGGGCCGGGCGTGTCTCTACAGCGGATAACGGGGGCTGGGCGTGTCTCTACAGCGGATACGGGGGGCTGGGCGTGTCTCTACAGCGGATACGGGGGCTGGGCGCGTCTCTATAGCGGATACGGGGGCTGGGCGTGTCTCTACAGCGGATACGGGGGCTGGGCGTGTCTCTACAGCGGATACGGGGGCCGGGCGTGTCTCTACAGCGGATACGGGGGCTGGGCGCGTCTCTATAGCGGATACGGGGGGTGCCGCTGCGGCGTGACGCTGTAGCGGATACGGGGGGCTGGGCGTGTCTCTACAGCGGATACGGGGGCTGGGTGTGTTTCTACAGCGGATACGGGGGCTGCCGCGGCGTGACGCTGTAGCGGATACGGGGGGCTGGGGCGTGTCCTCTACAGCGGATACGGGGGCTGGGCGTGTCTCTATAGCGGATACGGGGGGCTGGGCGTGTCTCTACAGCGGATACGGGGGGCTGGGCGTGTCTCTACAGCGGATACGGGGGCCGCTGCGGCGTGACGATGTAGCGGATACGGGGGCTGGGTGTGTTTCTACAGCGGATACGGGGGCTGCCGCGGCGTGACGCTGTAGCGGATACGGGGGGGCTGGGCGTGTCTCTACAGCGGATATGGGGGCTGGGCGTGTCTCTATAGCGGATACGGGGGGCTGGGCGTGTCTCTACAGCGGATACGGGGGGCCGGGGCGTGTCTCTACAGCGGATACGGGGGCTGGGCGTGTCTCTATAGCGGATACGGGGGGGTGCCGCTGCGGCGTGACGATGTAGCGGATACGGGGGCTGGGTGTGTTTCTACAGCGGATACGGGGGCTGCCGCGGCGTTGACGCTGTAGCGGATACGGGGGGCTGGGCGTGTCTCTACAGCGGATACGGGGGGCTGGGCGTGTCTCTATAGCGGATACGGGGGGTGCCGCTGCGGCGTGACGCTGTAGCGGATACGGGGGCTGGGCGTGTCTCTACAGCGGATACGGGGGCTGGGCGTGTCTCTACAGCGGATACGGGGGCTGGGCGTGTCTCTATAGCGGATACGGGGGGTGCCGCTGCGGCGTGACGCTGTAGCGGATACGGGGGCTGGGCGTGTCTCTGTAGCGGATACGGGGGGTGCCGCTGCGGCGTGACGCTGTAGCGGATACGGGGGGCTGGGCGTGTCTCTACAGCGGATACGGGGGGCTGGGCGTGTCTCTACAGCGGATACGGGGGGCTGGGTGTGTTTCTATAGCGGATACGGGGGGCCGGGCGTGTCTCTACAGCGGATACGGGGGGCTGGGCGTGTCTCTACAGCGGATACGGGGGCCGCTGCGGCGTGACGATGTAGCGGATACGGGGGCTGGGTGTGTTTCTACAGCGGATACGGGGGCTGCCGTGGCGTGACGCTGTAGCGGATACGGGGGGCTGGGCGTGTCTCTATAGCGGATACGGGGGGTGCCGCTGCGGCGTGACGCTGTAGCGGATACGGGGGGCTGGGCGTGTCTCTACAGCGGATACGGGGGGCTGGGCGTGTCTCTACAGCGGATACGGGGGGCTGGGCGTGTCTCTACAGCGGATACGGGGGCTGTGTCTTGTTGCGGATATCAGGGATGCTGAAGAGATGGGAGGACAGTCAGCGGTACCTGTCGGACAACCCGGACCTGGTCTGTGAGGAGACGGCCAACTACCTGGTGATATGGTGCATAGACCTTCAGGTGGAGGAGGTGAGTGTGGGTGTGGTGTAGTGTGTGTGTAGTGTAGTGTGGGTGTAGTGTGTGGGTGTAGTGTAGTGTGGGTGTGGTGTGGTGTGTGGGTGGTGTAGTGTAGTGTGTGGGTGGTGTGTAGTGTGTGGGTGTAGTGTGGGTGTGTAGTGTGGTGTGTGTGGGTGTAGTGTTGTGTGTGTGTGTGTGTAGTGTGTGTGTAGTGTGTGTGTGTAGTGTGGTGTGTGTGGGTGTAGTAGTGTGTGTGTAGTGTAGTGTGTAGTGTAGTGTGGTGTAGTGTGGTGTGTGTGTAGTGTGTGTGTAGTGTGTGTAGTGTGGGGTAGTGTGTGTGTAGTGTGTGTGTGTAGTGTAGTGTGGTGTGTGTGTGTGTGTGTGTGTAGTGTGTGTGTAGTGTGTGTGTGTAGTGTAGTGTGTGTGTAGTGTGTGTGTGTAGTGTAGTGTGTGTGTAGTGTGTGTGTGTAGTGTAGTGTGTGTGTAGTGTGTGTGTAGTGTGTGTGTGTAGTGTAGTGTGTGTAGTGTGTGTGTGTGTGTGTAGTGTGTGTGTAGTGTGTGTGTGTAGTGTAGTGTGGGTGTGTGTGTGTAGTGTAGTGTTGTGGTGTGTGTGTTGTGGGTGTAGTGTGGGTGTAGTGTGTGTGTAGTGTGTGTCTAGTGTGTGTGTGTAGTGTGTGGGGTGTAGTGTGTGTGTGTAGTGTGGTGTGTGTGTAGTGTGTGTGTGTAGTGTGTGTGTAGTGTGTGTGTGTAGTGTGTAGTGTGGTGTGTAGTGTGTGTGTGTAGTGTGTGTGTAGTGTGGTGTGTGGGTGTAGTGTAGTGTGTGTGTGTAGTGTGTGTGTAGTGTGTGTGTAGTGTGTGTGTAGTGTGTGTGTGTAGTGTGTGTGTAGTGTGGTGTGTGGGTGTAGTGTAGTGTGTAGTGTAGTGTGGGTGTAGTGTGTGTGTGTAGTGTAGTGTAGTGTGTAGTGTGGGTGTAGTGTAGTGTGTAGTGTAGTGTAGTGACTTGGTCTGTGAGGAGACGGCCAACTACCTGGTGATATGGTGCATAGACCTTCAGGTGGAGGAGGTGAGTGTGGGTGTGGTGTAGTGTGGGTGTAGTGTGTGGGTGTAGTGTGTGGGTGTAGTGTAGTGTAGTGTGGGTGTGGGTGTGTGTGGGTGTAGTGTAGTGTGTGGGTGGTGTGTAGTGTGTGTGTAGTGTGTGGGTGTAGTGTAGTGTGTGGGTGTAGTGTAGTGTGTGGGTGTAGTGTAGTGTGGGTGTAGTGTGGTGTGTGTAGTGTGTAGTGTGTGTGTGAGTGTAGTGTGTGTGTGTAGTGTGTGTGTGTAGTGTAGTGTGTAGTGTGTGTGTAGTGGTGTGTGTAGTGTGTGTGTAGTGTGTGGGTGTAGTGTGTGTGTGTAGTGTAGTGTAGTGTGGGTGTAGTGTGTGGGTGTAGTGTAGTGTGTGTGTGGTGTGTGTGGGTGTAGTGTAGTGTGTGGGTGTAGTGTAGTGTGTAGTGTGGGTGTAGTGTAGTGTGTGTGTAGTGTAGTGTGTGTGTGGGTGTAGTGTGTGTGTGTGTGTAGTGTGTAGTGTGTGTGTAGTGTGTGTGTGTAGTGTGTGTGTAGTGTGGTGTGTGGGTGGTAGTGTAGTGTGTGTGTGTAGTGTGGTGTGTAGTGTGTGTGTAGTGTGTGTGTAGTGTGTGTGTGTAGTGTGTAGTGTGTGTGTAGTGTGTGTGTGTAGTGTGTGTGTAGTGTGGTGTGTGGGTGTAGTGTAGTGTGTGTGTGTAGTGTGTGTGTAGTGTGTGTGTAGTGTGTGTGTAGTGTGTGTGTGTAGTGTGTGTGTAGTGTGGTGTGTGGGTGTAGTGTAGTGTGTAGTGTAGTGTGGGTGTAGTGTGTGTGTGTAGTGTAGTGTAGTGTGTAGTGTGTAGTGTGGGTGTAGTGTAGTGTGTAGTGTAGTGTAGTGACTTGGTCTGTGAGGAGACGGCCAACTACCTGGTGATATGGTGCATAGACCTTCAGGTGGAGGAGGTGAGTGTGGTGTAGTGTAGTGTGGGTGTAGTGTGTGTAGTGTGTGGGTGTAGTGTGGTGTGTGGGTAGTGTGTGGGTGTAGTGTAGTGTGTGTGTAGTGTGTGGGTGTAGTGTAGTGTGTGTAGTGTGTGGGTGTAGTGTAGTGTGTGGGTGTAGTGTAGTGTGTGTGTAGTGTAGTGTGTGGTGTGTGTGTAGTGTAGTGTGTGTGTAGTGTAGTGTGTGGTGTGTGTGTGTAGTGTGGGTGTAGTGTGTGTGTAGTGTGTGTCTAGTGTGTGTGTGTAGTGTGTGGGTGTAGTGTAGTGTGTGGGTGTGGTGTGGTGTGTGGGTGTAGTGTGTGGGTGTAGTGTGTGTAGTGTAGTGTGTGTGTAGTGTGTGTCTAGTGTGTGTAGTGTAGTGTGTGGGTGTAGTGTGTGTGTGTAGTGTGTGTGTGTGTGTAGTGTGGGTGTAGTGTAGTGTGTGTGTGTAGTGTGTGGGTGTAGTGTAGTGTGTGTGTAGTGTAGTGTGTGTGTAGTGTGTGGGTGTAGTGTAGTGTGTGTGGTGTAGTGTGGTGTGTGGGTAGTGTGTGGGTGTAGTGTAGTGTGTGTGGGGTGTAGTGTAGTGGTGTGGGTGGTGTGTGGGTGTAGTGTGTGTGTAGTGTGTCTAGTGTGTGTAGTGTGTGTGGGTGTAGTGTTTGGGTGGGTGGTGTGTGTGTGTAGTGTGTGGGTGTGGTGTGTGTGTAGTGTTGTGTGTGTGTAGTGTAGTGTGTGTGTGTAGTGTGGGTGTAGTGTGTGTGTAGTGTGTGTGTAGTGTGTGTGTGTGTGTGTAGTGTGTGTGTGTAGTGTGTGTAGTGTGTGTGTGTGTAGTGTGTGGGTGTAGTGTAGTGTGTGGGTGTAGTGTGTGTGTAGTGTGTGTGTAGTGTAGTGTGTGTGTGTAGTGTGTGTGTGTAGTGTAGTGTGTAGTGTGTGTGTAGTGTGTGTGTAGTGTGTGTGTAGTGTGTGGGTGTAGTGTGTGTGTGTAGTGTAGTGTAGTGTGGGTGTAGTGTGTGGGTGTAGTGTAGTGTGTGTGTGGTGTGTGTGGGTGTAGTGTAGTGTGTGGGTGTAGTGTAGTGTGTAGTGTGGGTGTAGTGTAGTGTGTGTGTGTAGTGTAGTGTGTGTGTGGGTGTAGTGTGTGTGTAGTGGTGTAGTGTGTGGGGTGTAGTGTGTGTGTGTAGTGGTAGTGTGTGTAGTGTAGTGTGTGTGGGTGTAGTGTAGTGTGTGGGTGTAGTGTGTGTAGTGTGTAGGGTAGTGTGTAGTGTAGTGTGGTGTGTAGTGTAGTGTGTTGTAGTGTAGTGGTGTGTAGTGTGTGGTGTGTGTGTGTGTAGTGTGTGTAGTGTGTGTAGTGTGTGTGTAGTGTGTGTAGTAGTGTGTAGTGTGTGTGTAGTGTGTGTGTGTAGTGTAGTGTGTAGTGTGTGTTGTGTGTAGTGGTGTGGGTGTAGTGTGTGTGTGTAGTGTAGTGTGTGTGTGTAGTGTGTGGGTGTAGTGTAGTGTGTGTAGTGTAGTGTGTGTAGTGTGGTGTGGGTAGTGTGTGGGTGTAGTGGATAGTGTGTGGGTGTAGTGTAGTGTGTGTAGTGTAGTGTGTGTAGTGTAGTGTGTGTGGGTGTAGTGTAGTGTGTGGGTGTAGTGTGTGTAGTGTGTAGTGTAGTGTGTAGTGTAGTGTGTGTGTAGTGTAGTGTGTGTAGTGTAGTGTGTGTGTAGTGTGTGGTGTGTGTGTGTGTAGTGTGTGTGTAGTGGTGTAGTGTGTGTGTAGTGTGTGTAGTGTGTAGTGTGTGTGTAGTGTGTGTGTGTAGTGTAGTGTGTAGTGTGTGTGTGTGTAGTGTGTGTGTGTAGTGTGTGTGTGTAGTGTAGTGTGTGTGGTAGTGGTGGGTGTAGTGTAGTGTGTGTAGTGTAGTGTGTGTAGTGGTGGTGTGTGGGTAGTGTGTGGGTGTAGTGTAGTGTGTGGGTGTAGTGTAGTGTGTGTAGTGTGTGTGTGTAGTGTAGTGTGTAGTGTGTGTGTGTGTAGTGTGTGGGTGTAAGTGTGTGTGTGTAGTGTAGTGTGTGTGTGTAGTGTGTGGGTGTAGTGTAGTGTGTGTAGTGTAGTGTGTGTAGTGTGGTGTGTGGGTAGTGTGTGGGTGTAGTGTAGTGTGTGGGTGTAGTGTAGTGTGTGTAGTGGTAGTGTGTGTAGTGTAGTGTGTGTGGGTGTAGTGTAGTTTGTGGGTGTAGTGGTGTGTAGTGTGTAGTGTAGTGTGTAGTGTATGTGTGTGGTAGTGTAGTGTGTGTAGTGTAGTGTGTGTGTAGTGTGTGGTGTGTGTGTGTGTAGTGTGTGTGGAGTGTGTGTAGTGTGTGTGTAGTGTGTGTAGTGTGTAGTGAGTGTGTAGTGTGTGTGTGTAGTGTAGTGTGTAGTGTGTGTGTGTGTAGTGTGTGGGTGTAGTGTGTGTGTGTAGTGTAGTGTGTGTGTGTAGTGTGTGGGTGTAGTGTAGTGTGTGTAGTGTAGTGTGTGTAGTGTGGTGTGTGGGTAGTGTGTGGGTGTAGTGTAGTGTGTGGTGGTGTAGTGTAGTGTGTGTAGTGTAGTGTGTGTAGTGTAGTGTGTGTGGGTTGTAGTGTAGTGTGTGGGTGTAGTGTGTGTATGGTGTGTAGTGTAGTAGTGTAGTGTGTGTGTAGTGTAGTGTGTAGTGTAGTGTGTGTGGGTGTATGGGTGTAGTGTGTGTCTAGTGTGTGTAGTGTGTGTGGGTGTAGTGTAGTGTGTGTGTAGTGGTGTGGGTGTAGTGTAGTGTGTGTGTAGTGTAGTGTGTGTGTAGTGTGTGGGTGTAGTGTGTGTGTGTGGGTGTAGTGTGTGTTGTGTGGGTGTAGTGTGTGTGTGGGTGTAGTGTGTGTGGGTGTAGTGTGTGGGTGTAGTGTAGTGTGTGTGTAGTGTGTGGAGTGTAGTGTGTGTGTAGTGTGTGTGTGTCTAGTGTGTGTAGTGTGTGTGGGTGTAGTGTAGTGTGTGTGTAGTGTGTGGGTGTAGTGTAGTGTGTGTGTAGT